CGAGTCTTTCCATAACAACCCTTCGGTTGATTAAAAGTGATGCTGACATGCTTCAATCCTTCTTGGTTTTACAGCCTCTGGCTGCTACATGGGGCCTCTAGGACTGGAAACCCATGAGAATTAGCATTCAGATTTTTAGTAGGCTGTGAAACACTCCAGAAAACACCATAGAATAATAGGTATAAAATGTAGACTATTACTTGTATCTACAAAAACCAGGTGTGAATAACATACCCATGCATGCTTGTACAATTCAGATAAGGATATTTTGCGAAGATATATATGACTATACAAACCTCATATAAGGGACTTTTTAAAAAACTCTGATAGCTTCACTGTAGATAAACAGGAATAAACCACAATTGTATTTTAACCAAAACTTTCCTTTTTTAATTTCAAAGCCTAAATATGAAGGTACAATAAACCAGATCTCTTACTTAATAAAACCTCAATTTGCACAGAGCCCAGAACATTTAAAAATTTAATTTTAATATGGTTGAAAGAAGTCAATCTTGGATAAAGGTGAAATCTATTTCATTAACTTTATGAAACAATTACTGTGGTTATGTGACACAATTCCTATCTTACTCTGTATTATAATTCACTATAAAATGATCAGTGCTTTCTTTACTGTATTTTAAGGCAAAACAATCATGAATGTTTAAAATCAAGATTTTCCAATGACAAATTTCCTCAAAAGCAATTTTTATGTATTCAACATTTCTGGCTAATAAAACTTGAGAAAATACTTTATTCAATTTTTAGAGTTTATAATTTGGGATCCTTACCTGCACTTCAGTGGAGTTCATGAAAGCTATGAAATTATAAGGAAAAGTGCATGTGTGTTCGTAAACTTTTCTAGGGAAAGGGCTCACAGTTCTCCTAGGATCCTAAAATTGGTCAATCATCTCAAAACAGAGTCACTGTCTTGGGTGAAAGTCATATCTAAAGAGACCAATGGGGCCAGTGTTGTGACATAGCATGTTATGCTGCTGCATAATTGTATGGTATTCCCATATGGATGACAGTTCAAGTCCTGGCTACTCCACTTCTGATCCAGTTCTCTGCTATTGCACATGGGAAAGCCATGGAAAATGGCCCAAGTACTTGGGCCCCTGTAGCCATATGGAAGACCTAGATGGAATTTCAGGCTCCTGGCTTTGGCCTGGCCCAGTCCTGCCATTTGGGGAGTGAACTAGCAGATGGAAGACACTTTTTCTCTCTCTTTTCTCTCTAACACTGCCTTTTAAATAAACAAGTACATCTTTAAAATAAATACATAAATAAATAGATTGAGTTTATTTGAAAAAGAAACTTCCCAGTGGCTTCATAGTAAATGTTAAGAGATAAAAAGTTGAGGCTGGCGCTGTGATGCAGTGGGATAAAGCCCTGGCCTGAAGTGCTGGCATCCCATATGGGTGCCAGTTCTAGTCCTGGCTGCTCCACTTTCAATCCAGCTCTCTGCTACGGCCTGGGAAGGCAGTAGAAGATGGTCCAAATCCTTGGGCCCCTGCACCCATGTGGGAGACCCGGAGGAAGGCTCCTGGCTCCTGACTTCAGATCATCTCAGCTCCAGCCGTTGCAGCCATTTGGGGAGTGAACCAGCAGGTGGAAGACTTTCTCTCTCTCTCTCTCTTTCTCTCTCTCTCTCTCTCTGTAACTCATCTTTCAAATAAATAAAATTTTTAAAAAAAAGTTGAAGTAACTGTCCCTAACAATAATGAAAGCTATTAACTAACACAAAGATGGGCCAGTTTAAGACTATGCTTTAGTCCCAGGTTTATACATACTTAGGTCCTTACTTAGGGGCTGGGGCTGGGTAGAAAACTGAAACCAAAAGATGAGTGAATAATGGAAGAGAGTACGTGTTGTGTGTTCAACTCTAAGAACTGTGGTAATGTCCTATGTTAGAGACTACTAGTGCAGCTATCTGCTGGCATGCCACAGAGAATTTCTGAACTCAGTCATCATTTGTTCAAATATCTATTATCTTCTTTGTGTTTTTCTTTTTCTCTTTCCTTCCTTTATAAAATGGAAGCCCTTCTCAGAAATACAATTGTAAAATATCTCTTAGCTAACAGAGCCTCTAATAGCAAGCCACTCGCAGTGGAGAACTTATTAAGTCCTATAATGTTAATAAATGGGAATCAAGTGAACAATTTCATAAACTGATTTATTTTTAAAAATCAGCTACCAATATGTTCTTAATAAAAGCAAAGCAGTGTCTGCTTTTTAAAGTTTATATCTGATATCTATGACACAGAATATATTACCATTATATTTAGTTTACTAGAAAAATGAACATAATAACTACTGGAAATTCATGCTCACAAGAAGTCAGGTACAAGGCAAGGCAGCAAATGAACCTTGAATTTCTAGCTTGATCTCAAGCATTTAAACTATGCTTTGTATTGTTTTATTTTTACTGTTCTCCAATTAACTTATAAGTATTCTAGTTAGGAAGGAATTTAATTAAGGCGAGCCATAGGAATTATAAAAGAACTTCAACAATTAATAAGGATAAGAAATCTTTCCATATGGACTAAGGGAGACCTTTCCCATAGCAACATCAAAGGAAAATAATGTATTTCTTTTCTACAGAGTTGATTAGCTAGGCATAAAGGGCTGACAAAGGATTGACCTCTGTCACTGCGCTTGTTAGGAAAGGCCCACATAAAGAAAATATTATGTTAATGAATCAGGTAAGCGACAGAAGAATTACTCTCATACACACACTGAGATTATGCTTTTGAGACACCATGTAATTTACATTCACATACTTAAAAAATAAATCTATCCTCCCTAAATATATCAGATAGGCTCCTCTCTTTTTACTTATTTCAGTTCTAATAAGGAGAAACAGGATTTTCCAAATCATTGGAGAGAAAAAAATTGGACTGTCAGAAATGTTCCTGCTGAAACCCATTAGGATTCCTGGTATGCTGCTAAATTCAGTAAACGGGATAGGGAGGGAGGTTCACGGAGAGACTCTTGCCAACCCTACTTGTGTTCCAGGGATATTAAAAATGGAAGGGAGAAAATGAATGCTTATCATTACTAAAGAAACTAGAAGAGTTCAAAAGGAGTCACATTTTAAGGCACTAATGATAAGATTCTTTAGAGTGTCTAGGTTTATGTTAAGTTAGTGGAAGTATTTAAAGTACGAGTGCAACAGTAACTAAAATATAAGATTTCTCATTCAAAAGTGTTGCTGTTGAGCATCCTCAGTATTAAATAATCTTAATGTTCTATTCAGGTTCAGCCTACTCTGAATCACCTTTATTTCTCAAATTTTAAAAATACGTCATATATGCAGGTAGAAAGGATTTTAAATTCATAGCCTTCAAATGAATAAGAAGGAAAAAGTTAATAGAGCCAAGAAACAAATATAAAGAAAAAAGTCAGAAACTAAACAACAAAAAACTCCTACAAAACAAATTTTGGACACCTTCCAGAAAACATTAATTGGAAGTTAAAAAAACTAAGAAAAGGGATGATCTCAAATCTGCCCTTTTAATAACAGCCTTGAATGTTAATGAAAGGCATCTACATAAGAAAGAAATTAGATGACATGATCATATATGCATAAAATCCTGTGAAATTTATTTTAAGAACTACAATTAACAATTGGATAGAATAAAGTTGTAGGATTTAAAGTCAAGATATACAAGAATCAACTGCTTTACACACTAGCTTTGAACAATCAAAAAAAAGTTTATAAACAAAAAATGCTTCTATAATAGCATTAAAAATATGCTACATATACAGATAAATGTTTTAAAAATGTATAAGACCAATACACTGAAAACAACAAAACACTGCTGAAAGACATTAAAAACTCAAATAAATGAAGAGAGATGTGGTCTTCATGAATATGAAGATTCAATACTGTTATGATTTCAGTTCTCCTCAAATTAATTTATAGATTTAAAACAATCTCAACCAAAATCCCAACAGACACTTACATAGAAATTGACAAGATGATTCTAGAAATTCATATAGAAATGAAAGGAACCTAGATTGGTAAAAGCAACTTAAGAAAAAAAAATGGAAAACTGAAACTACTTGACTTCATGATGTATTATAAAGCCACAGTAATCAATCTAGTGTGGTACTGGTAGAAGGACAGAACAGAGATTTGTGGAATAGTGGAATTTACCCAAGAAAAATAGAGAACAGTTTTCAGCTCAAAAGAAGGTATATGTCCATACAAAGACTTACATACAAATGTTCATAGCAACTCTATTTAGATAGTACCAAACTGTAAACAACCCAAATATCTATCAACAGATGAAAGGAAAAATAAATCGTGCAATAGGACATATAATAGAACACTACTAAGGAAAGAAAAACAATAGCCTATTGATAAGTGTAAGAACATGATGGCTTTAAAATACTTATGTTGAATGAAAGAAGGCAGAAAGACAGAGACAGAGAGATGACAGAGAGAAAATATATACGATTTTATTTATATAAAGTATAAAAAATTTCAAATTAATCTATAATGACATAAAACAGATTAATGGTTGCCTGGGGACAACAAGGGAAAAATAAGGGCAGAAGAAAAAAATTTCAAAGGGGCCCAGGCAACTTTGGGGTGTACATATACTCATTATCTTGTTTGTGGTGATGATTCCAAAACTAGGCATGACAAAATTTATCAAAGCTGTGTACAGTTTACTGGATGTCAATTATACCTCGATAAAGCTATTAGAATTTTTTTAAAGACTAAAGGGATGATCTGAAAGATTAATCTGAATAGTTTTAAATGTTTTCTTTCAAATTATCATTGAATTGTTTTGGTCAAAGTCAACTCCACATTGGGCAAGAATATTCAAATAATTTCTTTGAAAATCTGAATGACTTCTTTAGTACAAATATGCAAAGGTCAATAAAATTATTACTTCACATTTACAATTTTTGTATGTTGATGGTTATTAGTAAGTTTTTGGTGGGTTCAAAAGACAAATGAAAATAAGAAAAGCATGGTAAAAAGATACCTTAATTTGTGCAAAGGGTCTTTCATAACCTCCAACATACAGAAGGCCAACATTCTGAGGAAGTAACCTAAAAAGAAAGAAAAAGTATTATTTAAAAAATACTCCTCTTCTTCCTCAAATGTAAGATTGCATAAATTAGCAAGATTTCTACAGAATTACTATGAGAAATTAATATCTTAGCCTTTGTGCTGCAGGATAATAAGCAGCAAAGGAATCACTTTATATATCAGAAAACAATGGGTAAAATGTTGAGAATGAAAAATTTAGATATAGGACACTCTCATGTTAGTAATTCAAACAAAATTACTAAAGAGTCTCTGGAAAAGAACGAAAAGAAGTAATACATCCAAGGGGTCTTCAAAACGCACAAAGAAAATACATTTATGAAAACTCTAAGAATTTCAAAAATTGTTTATACCAACATAAACTTATCTTTTAATCTCATCTGTCACATACTTTCTGAAGTACTCTCATATATACAAAAACTTATAAAGATGCAAGTCAAAATGTAGTAAGAAAAACTGACACAACATAGCACAATATAGCTTCTGATAAATGATACTATACAGGTTTCTGCCTCAGGAAAGTAGTGGAGTAAGAGGTACGTGGTGCAGCAGGATATGGTAAAGTGTGAGTAGGTGAGATTTATTCTTAAAGGGTAGGTGAAACAAAGAGAGAAATATACAGAAAGTTCTGAGAATACAGAGGATTTCACATGAAGAGTAGTTAAGTGTGGCTGGAGTTAGGAATAATTTAGAGATCAGAATCCTAAGGAAGTTTGGAACAGTTCATGAAGAATTTCAAATTCCATAAACTTTATTTTATAAGCAATCTGGAGTTAGATTTTTTTCAAGAGGTGTATTTATTTCTCAGGATTAGGGTTTAGCCTAGCAGTTAAGATAACCACATCCCATACTGCAGTGCCTGGATTCAATACTCAGCACTGGCTCCTGACTCCACCTGCCTGCTAATGCAGACATGGTAAGGTGACAGACATGGCTCAAGTAACTGGTTTCCAGCCATCCACATGGAGACCTGGACACAATTCTGGGTTCACAGCTTTGGTCCAGCCTAGATCAAGTCACTGAGGGGCTTTGATGAGTGATTTAGCAAATGGGACCTCTGTGTCTTGCTGTCTCTCTGTGATTCTGTATCTCAAATACAATTTTTTTAAAGATTTATTTATTTATTTGAAAGCAGAGTTACACAGAGAAGGAGGGGCAGAGAGAAAGAGAGATATCTTCCATCCGCTGGTTCACTCCAATTGGCCTCAACAGCCGGAGTTGTGCCGATCTGAAGCCAGGAGCCAGGAGCTTCTTCCAGGTCTCCCATGTGGGTGCAGGGGCCCAAGGACTTGGGCCATCTTCTACTGCTTTCCCAGGCCATAGCAGAGAGCTGGATCAAAAGAGGAGCAGGTGGGACTAGAACCGGCTCCCATATGGGATGCTGGCGCTTCAGGCCAGGGCGTCAATCCGCTGTGCCACAGCGCCGGTCCCTCAAATACAATTTTTTTAAAAAACATGCATTTATTTTTTATAAATGTGCATAGAAATTAAAATAAAACCACACAGAGGGCATAACATTTTAAAAATAATGGTTACCTTTTCTACATCAACCCTTCTTCCTTCCTATTCCCACTTCTTACAGGTCCAACATTTTTTAAAAAAAATTTTTAATATTTTATTTAGGGGCCAGCCAATGGTATAGAAATGTCACACCTCTGGCTGCAGTGCTAGCATCCCATATGGGCGCCGGCTCAAGTCCTGGCTGCTCCACTTCCAATCCAGCTCTCTGCTATTATGCCTGGGAAAGCAGTAGAGGAAGGTCCAAGTGCTTGGGTCCCTCTATCCACAAGAGAGACCTGGAAGAAGCTCCAGGCCTCTGGCTTCAGATTGGCCCAGCTCTGGCTGTTATGGCCATTTGGTGAGTGAACCAGCAGATAGAAGATCTCTCTTTTTCTCTGTCTGTATCTCAGCCTTTCAAATGTAAATAAATCTTTTAAAATTTTTTATTTATCTGGGGGAGAAAGGGAGGGAGAGACAGTTCCCCATGCACTGGTTTACTCCCCATCAGCAGCACCAGGAATCAAACTCAAGCACTTTGATGTGAAATGCAGGCATATTAACCACCATGTCAAATGCCTGCCACCCCCCCCCCAATCATTCTTGACTGCACTGAAACACAGTGAATGAGGAAACACTATTATTAGAACTGTACTTGCAGATTGTACAGAAAGGAACTGGTAGGGGTGCAGGATATGGGAAAGACAAATATCCCTGTTGTCTAATTAAGTTAAATGTAGGCATGAGAATACTTCAAAATAATTAATGGAAAATTGAATTAAAAAATAAGTTTATTTTAGTGCAAAAATATCTTTGCACATGTGGAGACCTTCAAAAAATTCATGAAAAATGCATCATGAAAAAACTAGGCATGGATTTCAACCCAGATGTCCATCAACTGAGGTATATAAACATGATGGAATATTACTCAGCCATTAAAAAGAATGAAATCCTGTCATGGATGCAAGTGGAGATCATTCTACTTAGTGAAATAATAAGCCAGACCAAAAAAAGAAAAATTCATGTTTTCTCTGTTTTGTGGTAGCTAATATAAAGAGTACAAAAATAAAAAACCTGAATGTATGAGTGAAGTTCATGTCTTATGATTTGATTATTGTTTATAGCCTTGTCTATATTCCTGTGGAACACTGATCTTTCTACTTTTCACTTGTTAAACACCAAATTTAGTGGAACATTAAGCCTGTGCTTATAAAGTAAATTGAAACTATGTTATTCCAAAATTTAAAAAAAAGGGGGGAGGTACGGAACTACTGTTATTTATTTATTTATTTATTTCACAGATAGAGTTAGTGAGAGAGAGAGAGACAGAGAGAGAGGTCTTCCTTCCGTTGGTTCAACCCCCAAATGGCCACTACAGTAGGTGCTGCACTGATCCAAAGCCAGGAGCCAGGTGTTTCTTCCTGTTCTCCCATGCAAGTGCAGGGGCCCAAGCACTCAGGCCATCCTCCACTGCCCTCCTGGGCCACAACAGAGAGCTGGACTGGAAGAGGAGCAACTGGGATTAGAACTCGGTGTCCATATGGGATGCCGGCACCGTAGGTGGAGGATTAACTAAGTGAGCCACAGCGCCGGCCCGGGAACTACTGTTATGTTCTTAGAATTCTACCTTTGAAATCTGTTGTCCTCTTTACATTAACAAAAAAAACCCAAAAGAACTGTTTTTTCCTTTCCTTTTTTTTTCTTAAAGATTTATTTATTTGAAAGGCAGAGTCACAGAGAGAGGGGGGAAGAGACAGATCTTCCAAATTCACTGCTTCACTCCCCAAATGGCTACAATGGCCACAGCTCCCATGTGGGTGGCAGCGGCCCAAGTACTGGGCCATCTTCTGCTGGCCTGGCCACCAGGCGCACTAGCAGGGAGCTGGATAGGAAGTGGAGAAGCACCTGGCTCCTGCCATCGGATCAAGCGTGGTGCACCAGCTGCAGCGCGCTGGCCACAGCGGCCATTGGAGGGTGAACCAATGGCAAAGGAAGACCTTTCTCTCTGTCTCCCTCTCTCACTGTCCACTCTGCCTGTCCAAAAAAAAAAAAAAAAAAAATTTAACCAATACAACTTCAAAGTGAAACTAGCTTGAATCCCCAATGCCTTTGATGAAGACTTTATTAAGCCCTTGTTTCTCTCTTAGTATTCAATTCCTCTGTCTCTACTTTGATGATTAAAAGTTAAAACTTCTTACTAGAAATTAACTCACTAATTAAAGGAGTGGTCTGTCCCACAAGACCCCAGACCACAAGAATCATCCCATGGTTAACATCCCAACCTAGACTCCTGTGGGGAGCAGCCCGGACTGGACTGAGTTACTGGAATTAAGACTTATTCTATGCATCTGCTCTCCCACAATATGGCGCTGGGAGAGAAGTAAACAGCTTCCGCACAGCTGCCTCCAGTTCAACCAATAAACTGTAGGACTTGCTCCTGATTGGAGAGCAGCGTACTCGGCATGTGAACAGCCGAGTTAGGATTGGCGGAGGAGGACTATAAAGGAGGAGAGAGACGGCATGCACCAGGAACATCTATGGGGAACATCTAAGGGAAACATCTAGCTGGAGGAACACCCGTGCAGCCCCCGAGAGACCCGGCCGGCGGTGTGCCGCTCCCCTGCGGAAGTGGGGAATGTGGCCAGGGGGAACTGCCCTTCCACGGAGGTGGAAGGGACAGTAGCCAACCCGGGAAGAACCAGCAGCAAACCCGGGGAGGGCCGAGCAGACGAAAAAACAGCGCAGGGTCCTGTGTCGTTCCTCCACGAAGAGGGGGAGCGACATAATGGTGCCGTGACTCGGATAGGAAACCTAGGACGGATAGGAAACTTAAGAGGGAAGAAACGGGAAGAACTGGGAAAATATCGGAGAGAGAGACTAGCAAACAGCCTAGGGAAAAGCCGGACGAAAAGGGTGCCGGAAGAAGCTATTGAAAGCCTAGGCATAGACTCAGATACGGACTACGGGGGGAAGCTGGGAGAAATCTCTAAGGTCGAAAGCGAAAGTGAAAGCTAGAACAAACAGACTCGGACGCGGACTGTGGGGAGAGGCCAGGAGAAATGAGGGAGGAATATTGTTGGAGGAAAGCTTGGGGAAATATACCAGGTAGAGAAAAATGTTAGGGAAAATGAAGCCGCAGGGGGCAGGCCGAGGCTGAAACGAAAGCCACTTTGGGATTCTCAAGTTAGCCCGGGAATAGGGGGCGAAAAGTTGAAACCAGAAGCTGAAACGTAAGCCAGATTGGGATCCGTCTGATTAGCCCGGGGAGCAAAGGACGGGAAGCCAAACCGTGGGGCGGAGACGTAAGCTGGGTTGAATTCGCCAGGCTAGCCCGGGGAACTTAGATTGAATGCTAGTGGCGGACACGTAAGCTACGCTGTGTGACTCGCGGAAGCCGCCGCGTGCAGAGAGAGCACGGGGCGTGAATAGATAGGGAACAGGGCTGGCGCGAGGCCGTGGTTCAGACGCGAAAGGGTTAAGTGCGAGACTGCGGAGTGTGCTTGCA